TCCTCCTCCTCCTCCTCCTCCTCCTCCTCCTCCTCCTCCGTCCTCGCTTCCTTACAAAAGAGCTCGCCCTGGTCGCAACACCGGACGCCTCGCGGGGGGGGGAGGGCGGGCCAGTGGCCGAAGAGCTCCTCACCGCTTCTGTACGACCTTGAGGGCTGCCATGCCCCACGGCTGCGCGGAGGGAGGCCAGCTCCGTGTTCGAAGCGGGGCTCCCGCCTCAACGCCGCGCATACTCGTCTCCAGAGGTGACCTGCTGGAAGTGCTGCTGGCCCAGGGCGCCCGCAGGACTCTCGGGGTGAGCCAGGCGGCCTTCAGAGCACCCCTCACGAGGCCCTGAGGGGGCTCCAGGATGGAGCGAGAAGCGGGGGGCACCCTGGGCCAGGGGCACCTCTGGTGCCACCCGATCTGAGGGGGGGGCTTCCTTTCGACACGAGGCTCTCACCGGAGCGCTGCGCACACCTTGTCTTGGTAGCCTCCGCCAGCTATGAAGGAGGGAGGAAGGCCGCTGCCAATCTCGCCTCAGCGCCGCGCACACTCGCCTCAGAAGTATCCAACAATTTCGAAGGGCGGGATGGGTCAACGGCCGCCACGAGTAGGATCACAGGCACAGAGCTGGCAAGCTCCGCCGCCAGTTCTGAGTTAGGGTCAGCGGCAGAGGCGGCAGTCTAAATACCCAACGTTCACCTGGACTGTGGAGGGCGCCCGTTGTCAAAGCGAGACTGTCGCAGCAGCGCCGAGCGCATCGGTCTTAAGAGCTTACTCTTCGGACGGAGGGTGGCCGCTTGCAAAACGAGGGTCTCGCCTCAGCGCCGCGCACACTCGCCGCAGAAGTGCCCAACAGCCACACGGACTGAGAGCGGCTGGCTTTCGAAAAACGGGGCTCTCGCAGCAGCGCCAGACGCACTCGTCTGGAAAGCTTCCGACACCTGATTACACGGTCTGATGGCGGCCGTGTGTTCAAAACCTGATCGGACAAAGAACAGGAAGCACCGATGTTGTCCCATCGGGCTCGCAGGGGGGACAAGAAGACAAGGATGCTGGCGACGACGGGGCGCCAGATGTCGAGGATGGCGGCGCGGACGACGGGGAGGCCAGCAGCGGGGAGGGCAGGAGGACAACGAGCGGGAAGACAAGCGCGGGGACGAGGAAGGGACGGAGGAGGACGAGTACGAGGAGGAACGTTCCGATGGCTGCACGGTCTGATGGCGGCCGTTTTCACAGTGTGGCTCTCGCCTCAGCGCCGCGCACATTCGTCCCAGAATCACTGCAGCAATGAAACGGATGGAAGGCAGCAGTTTCTCAACACGGAACGGTCGCTGCAGGCTTCCTCTGATCGCGTTCCAAGACGGTCCCGAATCGCGGAGCGAGTGGCCCCAAACGCGTACGACGGTTCCAAGACGCCCCGAGACGCCTTCGAGACGTCCCGACAGCCTTCCCAAGAGGGCCCAGAGAGGCAAAAATCAATGGCTTTCATTTGGTAACGCATCATTGTTTCTGGGGTTATCGTCTTCTCGAGCTGCCGACGCTCCAGGACGGCCCAAGAAGCCCCGCAGACCGCCCCGGAACTGCCCCAGGGGCACCCACGAGGGCCCCAGGACGACCCGAGACGGTTCCAAGACGGACCAAAGGGCGGCCCAAAACGGCCAGCGATCGCTCCAAGAGGGCCCCAAGAGAGGCTGAGAGGGAGAATACGAACCGTAAATCCTATCTTTCCCCCCGAGAGGCCCCCCCAACGGCCCCAAGAAGCCCCCAAGCGGCCCAAAAGAGGAGGCCCCAAAACGGCCCCTAAGACGCTTCAAAAGTGCCTCCAAGAGGCTCCGCCAGGCCCCCAAACAGCTCCCAAGACGCCCACAAAAGTCCCCGGATAGTGTCCAAAAAGCCCACGACGCCTCAACCATGGACTCCCCGCCTCTTCTGGGGGTCGGCGAAATGGCGTAAGCCTCTTGAATCTTAAAGGTGAAAGGCACTTCCTTTCTAAAATGGTTTTCGCTTGAGACGTCATCCGATTGTTTGACCAGAGGTTGGAAAAGTGTGTAGTAGCAGCACCGATGAGTGGCGGATCCTTCTGAAAATGGGCTTGTCGCTTGACACGTTCTAGAACTTTTGGGCATACCTCTTAGCACTCCTCAGATTGCCACTTCCTTCTCGTATTCCTCCTGTGCTTCGCCAGCGTCGTCGTCGTCGTCGACGTCAATCGCCGTGCTCCTCATCCTCCCCCGCCTCCCCCATTCCGCCCATTCGAACACGCGCGTTCTGTTGGAGGAGGGCGGAGGAGGAGGAGGAGGAGCAGCAGGATGGAGAGGATTGAGAGGAGGACGTGGAGGAGGGAGGGGGTGGAAAGGGGAGGAGTGCGCGGAGCGGGCGGATCGTCAGTCGCCGCCGTCGACGCCGCAGCCGCCGCCGTCGTTGTCATCGTCCCCCGGACCTGTCCTGGAGCCCCGCGGCCCGGATGTTGGGGCGGGCCCCGTCGTGGCGGCAGAGGCCCCTCTTGAGGCCCACGGACAGCGAAAGCCAAAGAGACGACGACAACGACGACGCCCACGGCGACAAGGCTCAGACAACGACGACGACGACGACGACGACGACGACGACAGCGACAGCGATAACGCTTACACGTCGGTCGGAAGATGTAGGTAAAAACCTGAAGTGGGAAGGCTGACACAGTAGACTGGGCTCAGGCCCTCCCAGGGAATCACAAGACACAGCAAGGGCATGCCAACTCTTGAAGCAGGAAGGCGCTTGAAGTAGAGTAGATCGGGATCTGGGCATCCAAGAATACCTGCTTTCAACGATCGACGTGTACGACGGGAGCCCTCATCAGAGAGGGCGCCGCGGGGCCCCGAGAGGACCCCCGAAAGAGCCCAGAATTGGGCGAGTTCTGCGCAGCGGGGAGGAGGAGGAGGAGGAGGAGGAGGAGGAGGAAGTCGAATGACCTCTGGTGAGCTTCTCCCCCGCCTCCTCAAGGCCGAACGGCCCTACCGTCTCTGAGATGATCGTCACCATCGCCATGAGATGCGACCCTGAATTGAAATGAAATATTTGTCTCTCTCTGTCGACAGTTCGGCCGGGCTGGCCGCCCGGCTGGCTGAGCCTGAAAGGCTGCAGTGTACACAGCATGCTGCTCGCGCCTCTCCCCTGCACCCTTTCACTCGGGTTGGGAATTCTCACGCTCTGCGTCGCGCGAGGAGGCACGGCGTCAGAGCACACTGCGCACGGCGAACGCCACAGGCTGCAGCCCGCTCAGACGCCACTCGTTCTGGAAACCCAGCTTCACGAGCGGCTCCCTGTCGATCTCACCCTTGGTGAGCGCATCTGCCAGCATGTCGACCGTGTCGATCCAGCAGAGCTGCGCTAGCTGGAGCCCGTCCAGCTGCTCTCGCACCGTTAACGTCGGCACGAACATCCGCTTGTCCGTCGCGATCATGATAACATCTGCGGCGACGGCGTCGAACACGGCTTTTGCGTCGATGGCCGCCATCATCTGCATCATCAGGTTGCCGTTCTCCTGCCGCATCCGCATCTGGTTGGCAGACCATACTCCTTCGTTGATCTCGGTCAGTGCAACGTTGAGGAGTGTCCCAGTGCCCAGAGCATCTAGCAACGCTATCAGCTCAGCCGCATACGTAGACCTGACCACATTGTTCTGCTTGCGACTGCACCAATCTAGCATCACGATTTTGTACGTAGATCCCGTCTGTACCACTTCTTCGCTGGCTTCTAGTAGCATGATCACGCAGCCTCGGGTCGCCAGCCCCTCGAACTCCATGGCGTGGAAGGCTGAGTCGCTGACAACCGCTAGTCGAACTCGGTCTGGACTCAGCGCGACAAACCGAACTCCGAGCTGCTTCACATGCGTCATGATCCACTTCAGCAGCCGATTGATTTTCCTGATGTCACCCACGGTCGGCTTCTTGGCTTGGCGCTGAAGGTAACTCACATACACTGCAATCGGTGGCATTGTCAGCGTCATCCAAGCAATCCCACCGAGAAGCGACATATATGCAGCATGACTCTCGGTGTTCACCTGGCCATCTTCGTTCTCCATTACATACTGATCTTCTTGCAGTGGGCGTAGCTGCTGCACGTAGTGCTGCTGGTGCGTCCAGATGGCCTTCGTTGTGGGGTTATGCTCGCGCATGATGCCAATGCACTCGAAGTTGTCATAATGGCGCCTCAGCTTCCCGAACTCCGCTTCTATCATGCTCAGCACCTTCTCCCTCAAGTAGTCCTCGCGGCCGCCCTTCAAGTCGTCAACGTGCGAGGACATGATCATCTGCAGCTCGCCCTTCTCGTTGTGGTACACGTAGGGCTGCGGGTCGCTGATGAGCACCTTGCCGCCGGTCTTCTCCAACACCTACCTTCTTCAGCATGACCTGCCACAGTCTCGGCGCATCTTTGAGGCCGAACCCGCAGCGAAGGAGCAACAACACCTCTGCCACAGGGTTGAAGTCCTCGTATCCCTCAAGTTGTCGTAGCACCGTGATCGATCCAGGCGGCATGGTGAACTGCATTTTTCGCTTCACTCCCCCGCCCATGGCGGCAACCTGCTCGAAGGTGAGGCCACGCAAGAATGCTTAACTGATGTCAGCTGGGAAGAATCGCCACCTGCGCTGTGCCGTCACTTGATTCACCAATCGTTGTCCCCATCGTGCCGTCGTTCCTGCAAACGTGGACAGCTCTGGGGACTGCATGTCCTTGAAGCCCCTCACTGCGGGTCTCGCACGCACCTGCTTCTTGCCATCAATCTCCTTCCTCTTAAGCACCCAGCGCGAGTCGATGACGTTGTTCGCCTGATCCTTCGGGAATCGCTGGAATGCTTGCAATCCCGCCCAGCGCTGGAGCTCATCCTTCATCGCCTGTCGTACTTCAACCTCATGAGCTCGAGCTTCCTCCAGCGTGAACACATTCATCTCACGCTCGACAACGATCTCGCGCTGGCCCGTGTTGTAGATGCGAAGAACATAGAGCTCGCCAGCTCCCGGACGTCGAACGTGTTCTGCCTCAGGGCGTACCCAGTACATCAACGGAGCGCCCATGCCGATCTCGACGCAGTCGGGTCGGGAATTCGCGGAGACCTCCTCCATGGCCTCCATCACGTGATCTGCGTCCGGGGCTGCGAAGAAGAAGTCGTTCTGAGCGCACTCGGTGTCGACCGCAGGCAATGCGGCCTGCTCCTTCATATACTGCCAACTGGCGAACTCGTACTCCTGAGTGGCGTCGCTGTCCGAATCGTCGTCGTCATTCGCGTCGTGGTCTTCCTTGAGCGGCAGCACAGGCTCGTGCAGTGGTGCAGAAGGTTCTGCTGCCGCTGCTGGCTCACCAGAGCCTCGAGCTCCACGATCGCGGTCCCCAGCGTCACGAGATCGTGATCTCTCTCGAACTTTCTTCATATCTGGTGACGCCCTTCCAGTCATCGTTGTCGGCCCGACGTCGTTGTGCACGGTCGGGGCCGGAGAAGGTCCTCGGGGCCGCGGTGGTCCTCTGTCACTCCTACTCCTCGTGGACACGCTTGACTGTCTTGACGCGCTGGATAATATCGTGTCGGGTACTCCCGGCGTAGTCGTGCTCATCTGTCTGGACATGCCTGGTATACTCGTGTCAGATATCGGTATGTCCTGCCAGGGTACGTCGAAGTCCTCCTCCTGGAGCTCAGGTGGGTCTTGAAATGGTCCGGGTTCAGGTCGCTCTGGCTGTTCATATCGTCGCGCGCGTGGGAGATTGCCGAACCAAGGTCCTCCAAGATGCGGCGCCTCAGGTTCGCGTCGTCGAAGTTCCCGAACTGATTCGTCGTCGGTCAGGATGAACTGCACGAAACTCACGTCTCGCCAATGATCCTTGCCAATGATCTGCGCCAGCTTCAATCTCGCGGAACCCGACGCCTCGTGGTACCAGGTTAGCTCTGGGCGGCCACGCGGCCACCACCACAAGAAACTGTGGTCACAGCCGACCACCCCTTCAAGTACGGATACGCCATTGCCCACTCTCGCGCCGATGCAGCCCACAAGGTAGAAGCCGCTGGCGGCTACATGCAACACCGCCAGAACCAGCTCGCTAAGCTTCTGGCTGTCCGCGGTCCGCTTCCACCCGGCGTCGAAGAGCCCACCCACACGCACGCCCCTGCTGTCCAGTTGGTCTGCGTAGCTCATGATGGTGGCCACCGGGTCGCGCGACCCCGCTTCGAAGAAGATGTTGTTCGTGAACATCACAAAATACACAAGGCTGCGTCGGAGGTCTTGTGGTCGGACTTGAAAGACTCGGCATTGCCATCGAACGAGCACTGGCGGTCCAACCTGCAGCAGGGTGGCTGGTCCACGCCAGCCCAACTCATCCTTCGTGCTCTGTGGTCGATGAAAGTCAACCTGATCTCCGACCGCGAGTTGTAGTGTCTCGTGAGGAGCCCGTTTCTTGGATCGTAGTGCGCGCCTCAGCCGATCCTTCGCGGTCATCTCTACCATGGCCTGCATCGCCACCTCACGTAGTCCACGATGGTGTCGTGAGATGCCCGGGATGCCCGCAGACTGATCATCAATCTGACAGTCGCCCACCGGCTCGAACTCCGCCAGCAGTGCAGGAAGTCGTCCATACACCGCCTGGTAAGGACTGAAGCCCGCCACGGTGCTGAGGAGGTTCTTGATGAGTGCGCACTCCGCGATCACGATCTCCAACGGCATCGCGATGCCTTCCTGCTCAAGCTGGCTCCGCACTCGGTGTATGATCTTGCGTGCTAGGTCGTGATGGCGCTCCACCAACTGCGCGTGCGAGCCCTCTTCCTTAGCCTTCATCTCGATGCCCCAGCGGTCCAGCCACTGGTACGCCTCCTCTCCGTGGAGGCCGCCCTCGATATCGGCAATCAGCAGCTTCATGGGGCCATGAGGGCGTATCCAGCCGTTGGTGACCCCGGCAATGATCGTGATCGCCGTCTTGCGATCTAGAATGTTCAGCACTGTCCAGCGCGTCGCTTCGTCGATCATGTGGGCCACCATCTGGTCGCCGATGTACAGAATGTCCCACTGGACCATCTCGTTGAAGCCCGTCGCGAGCCGAGAAACTGTCATACTTTTCGGTCCCGGTCTCGTCCACATTCTGCACACTCGGCATGTGTCGCAGATCTCCTACACCAGGGCCAGCGTGGACGCAGGAGCGCCGGCCTTGTTCAGCAACTCTCGGAGGCGAGCGGCTGGAGCGTGCCAGAATCGAACATGGAGTCGTCGGAGCTGGCGCCGAACAACTTCCTGATGGGGGCTGTGCAGCAGCCGCAACGCGTGTCCAAGGTCGAACGCGGCCCAGCCGGGCTCGTCACTAGCTCGAGCCTGAGTCCCCGCATCGACACCTTGAGGTCGTTCAGCTGGAGCTGCTGAAGGTTGCGCCGCGCCTGGTTCTGCACCGACGGCGTCAGCAGATCCTGCGGCGCCACCTGACGACTCAGCTGGCTCTGCTCCGTCCAGTGCTGCTGCCAGTCTCGATCGAGGTCGTGGACCATCCGATCGAGCTCTTCGAGCTTGCCGTGCTGCCAGAGCAGGTGGAAGTGGATCATCGGGTCCCGCTCTTCGAGCTCGCCGTTCTGCCTGAACGGGTGGAGGTGGTGGTGGTTCTGGCTCGGCGTCGGGCGCGTCAGCTCGAGCTGCGCTTGACGCTTGATTCGCAGTCAGCTCCTCCGCGGCTGGCGGTTGCCGTGGCCGCAGGTCTCGCGGTCCGACTGCTCTCGGTAGAACTCCGTCTGCTCGACATTATCCAGGTATTCGGGTGTGTCGTGTATCCGAGACCGCGCGGCCGCTCCGGCATGCCGGGCACTTCAGGTCGCGCGTCTTCACCAGTCTATGCTTGCATGTTTCTCCTCTGTCGTGTGATACGTGATCAGCCGGCCGATGATGCCGGCATCCTGGACATGATCGCACCGCGGCAGGTGCTGCTGCTGCTGATGGTGCTGCAGCTGCTGCTGCTGATCCTGATGCCGATGCTGCAGCTGCCGGTGCAGAGGAAGAAGAAGCGGCGCCAGCGCCGTCCGCCTGCACCGCAGTCGCGGGGTAGCACTCAAACACGACAAGGTGATGTCCCTGAGACCTCACGTGCTCTATCATGCGGGAAGTGCTCGTAGCCAGCTCCCTGCAAATGCCGATGGCCCACTCTGCATGACCTTTGGGATTCTCCAGGCGCCACTTGTCATGCTCCGGGCAGGCGCCTCGACCACCATGTGCCAGCAGAGCGCGCTCATGCTGGCCGTCGCAACGGAACTTCCTGAGGCCGCCGATCAAGCACTCGTTCGAAGCCCAGAACTCGGAGGACTTCTTGATCGGTAGTCCTGTCCGACGTCCTATCTTGCCCGCCATGCACTGGTCAACCTGGCACCACACCACCGCGTAGTTGTTGGCAATGCACCTCCAGTCATCGAGCTCGTAGAGTCGCTGCCCAGGGGCTGCTCCGACACCAAGTGGCGCCCGGCGTCCATCTGCGCACATGCTGCTGCAGCGGCCAGGCGGGCCAGTGCCACTGATATCCTGCGACTGCGCAGCCAGCCGCCGTGATTGATGACCTTGTTGAGTGCCGAGAACCCCTTCAGGCTAGTGCATGGCGTGCTGATCAGCAGCACGAGGGGCTTGTTGTCATGCAAGTATGCCCAGTTGCAGATGAGGTCGAAATTGGGGCCACCTCGGTAGCCTCGTCGCACAAGTAGCCGTGTTGCTCCCGATGCTCCACCGCGGAGCTCCGCGACATCGTCGCGCTGCAGGTGGCCGTAGTAGTGGTTCATATACTTTACCATATCATTCGTCGAGTGGAAGAAGTGACGCTGCTCGTCCTTCAGGCTCAGATATGCCTCCGAGCCGGTCATGCCAAAGAACTCGAACATCATCACGCACGGCTGCTCGTCGACGTACTGATCTTCCCTGAGCTCGGTGCCGTAGCAGACCTCGTCCAGCTCGTACTCGTTCGCCACGTAGAGCTTCGTGAAGTCGGACCCGCAGTCGTCGAAGACCTGTTCGACCTCCTGCGGTCTCTCCTTCACCTTGCGATCCGGGTCCGCTCCTTGGGAAAGCTGGTCGGTGGAAAGCGCCCTCTGCTCGGTGGGAAAGCTCGCGGCCAGCGCGCTCACCTTGCAGCCGGCATCGTCGACGTCGTCGGCGAACGAGACTCGGCCAGGGCGACGCAACTCACGTCGCGACTGCTCCTCTTCGGTTTCTTCCAAGGCCACTGTCCGTGATCCTGGAGGCCCGGTAGTCGTCGGATCAACTCCTGACGACCCGGGTCGGGCAGCACCCCTGGCCTCACGGCCTGGCGCGGCTGTTGCAGATGACGACGATCCGTCGGCTGCGTCGGATCTCACGCCGCCGTCGATGCACCCAGCGGCCACCATCCGCTTGACCAAGGCAGACACCCCCTTGGCTTTGAAGTCTGGCCGATCTGCAGCTGTCTTCCGTGTAACGTGTCGGCCAGGTGGCCAACCACAGCGGCACTTCGCATCGTGGTCGTCACAGTAGCTGCTGCTGATGATGCGAGTGACCTGTGCTGCTGGAAACCCTCGAGCGTCGCGCACTCCGAGGTTGCACCATCGCAGTCGCCCCATGCGCCACCTGCCGTGGTCTGGCAGCTCGAGAATGTCAGGCATGTCCCACACCACGCTGCCCTCGTCTGCCTCGACGACGCATAGGCGATGTCCTTCAAGTTGAGCTCGAGCGATCCTGCACTCGAAGCGCTTGGCTCGCTTGTCGTTCCGCGCGCCCCTTGCCGCACCCGGCCGGGCAAGGCTGACCCACGCGAGCCCCGGCCGCTGGCGGCGCAGGGAGTCCGCCCACCTATCCTCTTGCCCGAGGAATCGGTGAACATCACAGTTGCGACCCACCGCATATCCGCATCCGTGCAGCGCATTCTGGCATAGGTTCTGCAAGTCGCCGAACACCCATGCCGATGGCGGTCTCCCCTGCACTTCTCTGGCGCCCCCGCCGTCCCGAGCACAAGGATGGGGAGCCTGCGATCAGAGTTGCAGGCCGCCCTTGTCGGGCTGCCCGCCAGAACAGCTCGCGGCGGTCCCGCTGCTGGATGACGTTGCGGCAGTACTCTTCTTGCTCGCCATGCTGGACGCCGTCGGAGTTGGCGAAGGCGCTGCTGTCGAAGCGGTAGCATCGGACGCTGTTGACGTCGCCGATGCCATGGTCTTTGTCGGCCCTGCAATCCTCGACGTCGTCAGCTCGTCGTACAGGTCGCAGGGCAACATGAGATGGCCAGCATGGCTCTCCTCCAAGTGGTACTGTGCCGATGCAGGGCTCAGCCGCAGCGAATACCCTCCTGGACCGATGCGGTACAGCCTGTTGTTGAAGCAGTCCAGCAGGGTGCGTTGGCCCCGCAAGGACTTCCGCCCGAGCAGCGCTGGCACGCTACTGTTCGGGAGCACCAGTGCTTCATAGGTAGCAGCTTGACCTCCTTCCAGTGCCAGTTGATAACGATGAGAATGAGTCACTTGCTGAGATCCTGAGCCAACGCCGCCAACTTCGAGCGTCTCGCCGAGGGGCGTACGAGCTGGTGGTGGGAGTCCTGCCTGTCGCTGCTTCTCGGCCATCCGATGGCCCCTCTCGTCGCCAGCGAGGTTGCCTGGGCCCCCGGGGTCCACCAGCAAGGCTTCGCCACTCCTGTTCTTCATGCGGGTGCGGACCAGATAGGTCTCCTGGTTGGTGCTCTCGAGCTGGTCCACTCGCCACCACGGAAACCATTCGGGGCTAGTCTTCGCGTCGGCGCGGCCCTCTGCACTCGCATGTATCTCTGCCAGCATGTCGCGCTCCGTGATGTCGTCAAGCACGTTGAGGGTCTCCCAGTCCAAGGCCTCGCGGCCGTCGTCCTCGTCGAGGTCGCCGATCTGCACGCCGGGCGTCTGGATGTCGTCCGTGAGGTAGTGTAGTACTCCAGCCATCGATCCTGTTCTTGGCTGCGCTGGGGAAGGCGAGTACGCGCCCAGCACTGGACCCACGGCTTGGGAGCCGGGTGTCTGTGGACCCGTCGTGGCGCTAGGCGCGCTCCAGGCCGCGAAGTGCTTGCCCTTGCCCTTGCCCTTGCGCTGGGGGCAGGAGGCCACGAGGTGTGTCTCCGAGCCGCACTCGTGGCATCGCATGACGCCGCCGTCTCTGCCCCGAGGGTTGGTGGCACTCGGAGAACCTGCCATGTAGCGTTTGCCACCTCTTCTTCCTCTTACCTTTGCCGCCCGCCAAGGACCCGGGATTCACCACTGATCCGCCGTCATGATATCCCTTGCCATGGCCACGTCCTCGTCCGAAGCTGCCGCCCTTCCCGCTGCTCATGCGCATGGACCAGTTGCTGCGGGGAAAACGTGCGCGACGGCTGCCGCGGTGGACGAAGTGACGGAACCTGCGCTTGGCAAACAGGTACTCGCGCAGTAGCGTGTCGTAGTCCCAGCCCTCGGCGTCGCCGTAGTACTCCTGGAGCTCCTCTGGCGTGAACTCGGAGGTGTCCAGGTCGTCGTCGTCGGTCATCGAGTCCTCGTCGCCCGGCTCGTCCTCGCGCAGGTAGCTCGCACAGGTGGCACAGCAGTCGTAGCCCTCCTCGTCCTGGACAACGTAGTGCTGAGAGGAGTTGCCGTGCGCGGCCGATCCCGCGCTGCTCACGCCAGCAGCACTTTGTCCATACATGTATGCGGCCGTGTCACTCCATGTTGCTGTGCCGCTGGCGCCATCGCCCGTAAACCAATGCTGCCCGTGGTGTCCCTTGCCGCGGTAGCCTTCAGCCAGGCTCTGCGGTCCTGCGTGCGCGTGCTCCGCGAAGTGCCCCTGCTGCCGCACCATGCCAATCACCGTGTTCAGCTGGTCCGTCGTCGTTGGCAACTGGCCGTTGTTGCTCTGCAGCACGAGAGGGTACACCGCCTTGGGCACATGCATCGCTTCCAGGAACAGCAAAGCGAGCACTGGCGTCGGGAGCACGAACTGATCATCGAGTTGACCCACTCGTGCGCGCAGCGCCTCGAAGCGGGTGACCGCATCGTCGACGCTCTCCCGCTCCTGACGGCGGAAGGTGAGTAGCTCCACGATCGTGCTGATCGACGTTTGAACATCAAGCGGGCCGAAGCGCCGTCGGAGTCCCGCGATCAGCATCTGCACACCGTCCTCGACCTGGTTGCCAAGGCCATCGAACCTGTCCAGCGCGATGTTCTCCACCGGCACCTCGCGACAGAGGTCCCTCGCTGTGCCGCCCAAGCGCTGGACAATAGCTGGGCCACGCTGTGGGGGCTGCAGCTCCGTCGCGGCGCACCACAGCATAACGTCCTGGACCCACAGGCGGAAGGGGTAGCCCCGCTGCTCGAGATACGGAGCCCAGAACGGCGGGACCTTTGAAGTACTCTGCTGGGCCAACTCTGCTGCCGGCAGGCCCTGTGGTTGTTGATCGTGCGCATGGGGCCCCCAGGCAGGTGCTGGCAGGCGCGACTCGCCGATGCGATGGCCCCGCTGCGGCGTCATCGGTCGGCACCTCTGGGGCTCCGCCAGCGAGAGCACGCAGCTGATCGCCGTAGTCAGGAGGCCGATGACCGTGATAAACTTCATGATCTTGCCGAAACTCGAGTGCCTCGCAAGAGGCGACGAGGAAGAGCTTCCAGTTCTCGTCCTGGTGGCCTGTGTCGCACAGGCCGTACACGAAGTCGGAGTAGCACAGGTGCAACGCCTTGGGCTCGTCCGTCCTCCATGGCCGTGGTCGTCACGCACAGGGCCGGCAGAGACTGCAGCCGACCCTGCAGAGCCCTCCGGCTCCGCTACCAGAGTCGAATGACCTCTGGTGAGCTTCTCCCCCGCCTCCTCAGGGCCGAACGGCCCTACCGTCTCTGAGATGATCGTCACCATCGCCATGAGATGCGGTCCTGAAATTAGATGAAATCTTTGTCTCTCTCTGTCGACAGTTCGGCCGGGCTGGCCGCCCGGCTGGCTGAGCCTGAAAGGCTGCAGTGTACACACCATGCTGCTCGCGCCTCTCTCCTGCACCCTTTCACTGAGGAGGAGGGAGGAGGAGGGAGGAGGAGGACGAGGAGGAGGAGGAGGAGGCGGAGGAGGAGGAGGGAGGAGGAGGAGGAGGGAGGAGGAGGAGGAGGAAGGAGGAGGAGGAGGAGGAGGAGGAGGAGAGAGGAGGAGAGCAGGAGGGAGGGGAGGAGGAGGAGGAGGGGAGGAGGAGGAGGTAGCAGGAGGAGGAGGGAGGAGGAAGGAGGAGGAGGAGAAGGAGGAGGAAGGAGGGAGGAAGGAAGGAGGACGAGGAGACGGGAGGAAGGAGGAGGAGGGAGGAGGAGGAAGAGGAGGAGGGAGGAGGAGGGAGGAGGAGGAGGAGGAGGAGGAGGAGGAGGAGGCGGAGGAGGAGGAGGAGGAGGAGGAAGAGAAGGAGGAGGAGGAGGAGGAGGAGGAGGAGGAGGGAGGTGGCCCCCCTCAGCGCTGGCGCCTGCGGCCCTGGGTCGCCCTCGTCCCAGCCGCTGCGCCTGCCGTGCCGGCGGCTCTCCTTGCCGTCCTGCCCCAAGGCCGTGCTCTCGATGGCCTCGGGAAGGCCGGGCGCGGGGGGAGGATCAAGGGCTCCCAACTTCGCGCTTCGCGCTGCGCGAAGCGCGAAGTGCGCACAACTTCGCGCTCTCGCGCAGCCTCCCAGGGGAGGAGAGGAGGATGAGGGGGAATCGGAGCCGAACCGCGAAGCGCGAGGCGCGAATAGCTTCGCGCCCTCGAGGGCGCCCTTCGAGAATGCAGTCGGACTTGCGGGGACAGGACACGCAAGAGGACACGAGACCCTTCCGAGAGCCACGTTGCCACAGGAGTGCAAGAGGCACGGGTCGCGAGACACGGGACACGAGGGTGCCCTTGATTTGGCAGAGTCGACCTGCCAATCACTTTAAGGGAGGAGGGATATGGGCAGGGACGTTGGCAGGGCTGCGGCTGCAGGGAGGAGGAGGAAGAGGAGGAGGAGGAGGGAGAAGGACAGGAAGAATGGGACAGGGGGGTGGGGGGGGTGAGGAGAATTTGGGAGGAGGGGGAAAGGAGGGCAGGAGGGAGGAAGGAGGAGAACGAGGAGACGGGGGAGAAGGAGGAGAAGGAGGAGAAAAAGGAGACAGAGGAGGAGGAGGAGGAGGAGGAGGAGGAGGAGGAGGAGGAGGCGGAGGAGGAGGAGGAGGACGAGGAGAAGGGTAGGGAAGAGGGAAGGATGGGAAAGGAAGAAGGAGAATACGAAGGCAAGCAGCCACTTCAGGACGGCTGGCACAGACTGCAACCACCCGACTGGGCCGGATCACAGCCTGATTCAAGCAGGCAATCACGCTCTCTCAGGACAACGGAAAATGTGTTTCCGATTCGGCCGTTTGTGAGCCTCTGCGCGTCCTCGTGGGAGCGAGCCTCTTGCGCGGCCGCTTGAGAGCCTCCTGAGCGCCTCCGCGCGGCTTCTGGGAGGCGAGCCTCATGAGAAGTATCTGGGAGGCTCCCGCGAGGCTCCTGAAGGGACTCCAGAAGACTTCTAGAAGGCTTCCGAGGGGTTCCTGAGAGGATGTCGGCTGCACTTCTTAGAGATCTGTGATGGCAGGTAGGTCGAAATGTGTCGACTTGGCGGAGTAAACTAGAGTTGGCAACACCTCCAACTTTTTAGCCATAGACGACTAGCCACAGGGTCGGTTTATTTCCTGGCACATTCAAGAGCAGGCCGCATCGTGAACAAATCGCTTAAACCAGAAACAATTCAAATAACGAATCAAAGTTTGCAATCCACGTGCAATTCCGATCATTAGCATTAGTCCCAACGATGGTCTAAATGATCAGCTGTCCCACGAGTAAGCAGCAGCTCAAACAACTACACGTGGCTGACATCGCTTATCAAATAAGTAGCAGCGCTTACAACTGATTAATCCGAACTGAACTAACTACTGAGAATTCGCATGAACTCAACTAGTTCGTGGCGGTTATAAGAACTAGCTGGAAGTGGCAACAAGTCCAATAAGTACACACCATTCCAGATAATAGTTTCAGGGGAAAACGAAGCTGGACTTAAACAAGTTTGCAAAATCGTCTCAATAGTTAGCTCGGGACATGTGAATTCACACATACAACAATCAGGCACAATTCCAAGAAGTATCTGCGGTTCCAGTGGTTCGCCCGAGTCTAACAACGTCGATAATCAGCCGCCGTCCCAATGACTAGCCAACAGTAATGGCATTTCCACAACTTCGTTGTCTAGTTCCAAAGGTGAATTACGGTTACAATACGCTTGTAGGTCACAATTTCAATCCGCCGACTCAGTCGGCATGTGTGAGAGGCCCTTCGACGCGAGGCCGGCCCAACCCAAACTGAAGTACGCCAGCCTCCTTGTGATTCGTCGTCATCGTAAGGGAGATCGAAATAGAGGGGGATAGAACAGCGTCGTAATTACGTCGAAAGAAACCCCTTCCCTCTGTCCCTTCCCCGCCCGGGGAGGGGGGAGGGTCCCACGAGGGGTCCTGGGGGGTGGTCCCCGCGGGGTACCTGGAGGGGTCCCGGGGGGGCCCCTGGGATCCTGACCCCTCCCCCGCTGAAGGTCTTCCCGTTGGTTTTCGCCTCCCAGACGCCCGCACCCGAGGAGTCAGACGGCTTTCCTCCGCCACCTCCGCCTCCTCCGACTCCGCCTCCTCCTCCTCCCCCTGCTGCTCCTCATCCTCCTCCTCCCCCTCCTCCTCCTCCTCCTCCTCCTCCTCCTCCTCCTCCTTTTTCTCCTTTTCCTCTCCCTCCGCCTCCTCCTCCTCCTCCTCCTCCTCCTCCTCCTTCTCCTCCTGATCATTCTCCTCCTCCTCCTCCTCTCCCTCCTCCTCCTCCTCCTCCTCTCCTCCTCCTCCTCCTCCTCCTCCTCCTCCTCCTCCTCCTCCCTCCTCATCATCATCATCATCATCATCATCATCATCATCATCATCATCATCATCATCATCATCATCATCATCATCATCATCATCATCATCATCATCATCATCATCATCATCATCTTCATCATCATCATCATCATCAACATCATCATCATACATTCTTCCCCTTACGAATAACCCCTCCGTGTCGACCTCCGAGTCCATTCGGAAGGGCGGGACTGGCGTTTCGCCTCAGACTTCCTTACCATCTATGAGCCTGAAACTTAGAACGTGGCAACATCACAGATGGAGCGCGACGCTTCTAAAAATGTGGCTCTCGCCTTGGCGAAACGCACATTTACCTTAAACTTGGAAGGGTTTCATGAATTGACAGCGGGTCGGTTTCAACATGTGGCTCTCGCCTTAGCACCGCGCACAATCGACTTCAAAATATGTAAGAGCTTCACGGATTGAGAACAGGTGGGTTTCAAAATGCGGTTTTCGCCATAACGCCGCGCACATTCGATTTGAAAATATGCAAAAGGGTCACCGATTCTCATGGCCAACGTACCAGAAACGGCATTCTGGAACGATTCGGGATTATCAGAACGCAAGAGTTATGTTGATTCGCAATGGTGGAGCCCCAGGAACGTCGTTCTGGCACGATTCAAGATCGTCAAGACGCAACAATCAGGTTGACTCGCGGCGTTGAAGTCCTGAGAAAGGTGTTTTGGCCCGCTGCAAAATATTTACACGGTTGTCCCAATGCAGCACTTCGCTCCATGAAAATGAACTCTTGTAGGGGCCTGTGAAGACGGAGCTTGAAGGAAGGATGGATTCCAACTACTACGGATTGAAGGCGGGGGGGGGTTCAAAATGTGGCTCTCGCCTCAGCGCCACGCACATCCTTTGCAAAAAAATGCAAGCGTTTCACGGATTGAAGGCGGGTCGTTTGTTAAATGTGGCTCTCGCCCTGGCGCCGCTCACATTCGCTTTCAAAATTTGAAAAAAAGTTTCACGGATTGAGGGCGGGTTGTTTGCAAAATGTGGCTCTCGTCTCAGCGCCGAGCACATTCTTTGTATAATAATGCAAGAGATTCACGGATTGAGGGCGGTTCCTTTTCAAAATGTGGCTCTCGCCTTCGCGCCGCGCACATTCGTACAAATTTGAAATTGTGTCACTGGTTCCCATGTTCAACGTACCAAAAATGGTATTTTGGAAGGATTCCGGATCATGCGGGTGCAACAGTTATGTTGATTCACGGGGTTGGGAGCCAAAAAGAACGCGCTATGGCACGATTCCGGATAGCCAGAACGCAGCAGTCAGGTTGATACGTGGCGTTGAAATCCCGAAAACAATGGTTTGGAATGGTTCCGGATATTCAAACGGTTATTTTCCAACGAGGCCATTCCCTCAATGGAAATTAACCGTTGTAGGTGCTTGTGAAGAGGGAGCTTGAATTCCAACATCGTTGATGGCTCTTGTGTTGACACTGGTCCTCATCCTCCTCCTCCTCCTCCTCTTCCTCCTCGTATTCCTTGTCATCATCTTCCCCATCAGCATCAACATCATCATCACCAGCATCATCATCACCAGCATCAGCATCATGATCATTATCATCATCCTCATCCTCAACCTCATCAGCATCCTCATCATCGTCGTTAACATCATCAGCATCATCATCATCAACAGCGTCAGCATCATGCCCCTCTGTCTCCTCTTGT